CCTGCTGAGGTTGGGGGGAGTTTCACACTCTGCTAGGAAGGATTTAGGCCTTGGTGAGCACGCCTGTGTGTGTCAGCGTGGTGCGGTCTGAAGCCTGCCATTTGGGTGCTGGGTTGGGACGCTCTATGCTTTGCTTTGGGAAAATCCCTGTCCCCGGCCACCACCGGCAGAGCACCACCCAGGGGCTGGAGCTGATGCTTCCCTTTAAAACAGCGCAGACATGCTCTGCTAAACCTGAAGGGCTCAGGGAAAAGCCCTGTGCCAGGTGGGACAGAAGGAACCATGCTGCTTCCCCATGTTGGGATCCAAAATCCAGCATATGGAGCCAAAGGGCGCAGATGGGGAGGTGAACGGTGCCACCACTGAGTGCCCAGGCGCTCCCTGACATGCCAGGTCCTGGCAAGTGGCGCCGGCCCCACTGTCCAGGAAAGGACCAGTGCCCTGGGCAGTTGCTGGCTGAAGGAGTTTTGCATCCACAGAAGTTCCATTTTTTGCTGTCCTGACCTTGTCCTGCGTTCATCTCCTCTCCAAAGCCAGCTGCCAAGCCCTGCTCTGGCACCCTGTCCCTCCTGTGCACCACCCTGACATGCCAGGTCCTGGCAAGTGGCGCCGGCCCCACTGTCCAGGAAAGGACCAGTGCCCTGGGCAGTTGCTGGCTGAAGGAGTTTTGCATCCACAGAAGTTCCATTTTTTGCTGTCCTGACCTTGTCCTGCGTTCATCTCCTCTCCAAAGCCAGCTGCCAAGCCCTGCTCTGGCACCCTGTCCCTCCTGTGCACCAGCCTCTCCGGCCCCCCAGCCTCTCCTGGAAGAGAGTGGCAGGATGGGAGATGCTGTGCCCATAGGCACTGTCTTCCCCATCCCTCTTGGGTGTAAATTATGGTGCCTTAACTTGAAGACGGGAAGAAAACCAGAGATGCTGTTGTAAACTGGTGTCAGCTGCATCCTCTGTCTGAAGTCCAATAGCTCAGGTCTCATTTCTTGAGAAGAAGTATGCGGATGGTGGTGTAACCTGTCCATGCCACGTACTGTACCAGCAACAGCCCGTCATCTTCAGCCCTCCCACCCTCTTCCCTGCTCCTTCCTACTGGTAGCTCCTGCCTGCTTTGTGCTCTGTACCACAAAAACCTCAGCCCCAGGAGCGGGGGGCTCTGTAGCAGTCTGAAAAAAATAGTCATTGGGCAAAGCTGATAGGTAATGGCCTTAAATTTAAGCACCAAGTGGTAAAATCATGCTTTTGACTTTCCTCTTGTACAGACCCTTCTAAGAAATAAAACCGTTTGGGAAATGGCCTCTGTCTGTAGCCAGCAGGGCCCGATAAAGACAAAGCAAGCAAATCCCTTCCATGAGATGGCTCAGATGCAGGTTTTTATCTCTATGTGTTCTCTCTTGCTCCAGCCTTCTGTCTGGATGAATGACAGCCTGGCTGGGAGCGTGCACGACTCTGCTTTGCTGTATGTTTAACAGTTATACACCTGATGCTTCTGGTCTTAACACAAATCTGTTATTTCTGTTTTATCCCTTTATAGAAAATATCTTATATTCTCACTTTCTTTTTTTATTTTTCTGCGTTCTTTTAGAGGAAAAGTCCGGTAAGAAATACTGTTTTTATCTCATTATTTAACAGTCTCATGTTCTCGTTTGCACGGTCTCTGTTTTGCATGTCTCTAGAGCTGAAATGTAAAATGCAAATAACAAATCCTCCCATTTTGGAAGCTGTGATGTTTATTTTTCCTTCTCTTTTGGTTTAACTTAGAGCATTTTACAATAGAACTAGGCTGTCTTTGCTTTGGATGTACATAGTCTGGGGGTATGGTTTGGGTGAAAAAGCTGGTGGTTTTGGACAAGGTGTATAAAGGCACGGTTTTACTTGGGCACAATTTGTACATCATTGCACATCAAGAGGCATGAGAAAGCAGAAAAACCCATCAGTGGTTGATGACCTCTGGTGCCACTCTATGCAATGGTGATGGCTTCCCTGAGAGGAGTGGGCTTCAGACTGTTCTGAGCCCAAAATGAGGAAACTCGCCCATTCCACTGGGTCTGGGTTCCCTCTGGGCTCTCTCTGGATGCTGCTTTCCCCCCGTCTCGAGCCCCATGGGAGCAAGGCGCTGTGCTCATGGGAACAAGGCGCTGCGCTCCTGGCAGCGGGCACCGGGGCTGGGGGCTGCGTGGAGGGAACCCACCCAGCGCTGTGCGTCTGGGGCTTGCGAAGCTGTGCTGGAGGGGCACGATGGGCAATGGGGGACCTGGGGCGCTGACCTGTCGCTCTCTGACCAGGTGTCTCTTCTCTCTTCCTTCTCGCTGACCGCAGCGGCGCAGCCCGGTAAGCACCCACTCTTGCTGCTTCTGCCCCGCCGCTCTGGGGAGGAGGGTGCTGGTGGGGTCTGAGTCTGCGCCGGGGTTACACAGTGAGCTCAGGGGAAGGGGAGTGGGGCGCTGGTGCTGTTAGCTGCCCCGTTGTGTGACCCCAGGTGATGGCGGGACCTTGTTCCCCCAGCCAGTGCAAAGGAGTCCCTCATGATGGGCATCCTCCGCGGCTCAACCTGCATCCTTGCAAACCTGCCGGAGACCCTGCCCTTGTCGCGGGCAGCGCAGCAGCGCTCGTGGTCCCAGGGTACCCCTGCTGCCTGTCTCCCTCCGGTGGGGCTCCTGCTTCCCTCTCTGTCGTGCAGCCCCAGCTCCTGCAGTCTTGGGGTGGGGTGGGAGGGTTTGGCTTTTGCAGTGTGTGTTGTGTGGTGAGAGAGAGGATTTAGATTACTGAAAATAGGTTGTTCAGCTTAGATCAATTTGCAGCCCGTCAAATGTGAGGATTTGGGTTTTATGCCACTTCTAATGGGGTGAGGGTGCCAGTGACTCCTGTAAGCCCCACACAGTCAGGACGGCTGCGAAGGCAGCATTGCTGGGTCGTGGCTTTATGTGGCTCAAGATCCTCTCAGTAGGGTTTTTCTGCTCCCTGTAGGCTGGGAGTAAAATGAGATTTCACAACACACACATGCAGCTGGGCATATTTCAGCTGCATACAGTAAATACCACCCTAGACAGGCAATTCCTGCCACATCTGCCGGGCTGCTTTGCTCCTGCTGTGTCCCTCCTTGGGTGACAACTGCCACGTGCCCGTGTCCCTGTGCGTTCTGCTTACCTTGTGTGTTTCTAATTCCAGGGGACGATTAAAAGGAATTTATCCAGTAAGTATGTTCTGCAGCCTTCAAGAACAGTAGTTATGGCAGTGTGGTGGTGGCATTTTGGGGAGGGAGGAAAAAAAAAAAAAAGAGGGTGTTACGTTTGCTTTAAAGTGGTCCTGGCAGAAATTATGGCACCCAAATATCTTCCTTAAAGAAGGCCATATGGGACATCCTTGGGGTACCTTACAGAAACTGTGCAGCTCCCTAGTCTAGCTCTCTACAGAAATAAAATCTGAATTAATAAAACAGGCCTTTTACTGCCAGCATCCCCATAGCAGGCGTGGGATGGGATATGTGCTGTGGGGTGGCTCACCTGGTGTGAGCCCTCCTGCCAGCGCAGTGCCTGGGTGGACCGGGGGTGATGCTTGGGGGCAGGCGGGGGAACAGCTCTAACCCCACGCTCTCCGTCCTGTGCCGCAGGTGAGGAGATTGCACGGCCCCGGCGTTCCACGCCGACGCTGGACCCCGCCAGGTCAGTAGGGAGTCCATTGGTATAATTGCCCAACACAGCCACATTCAGGCGCGTTGTCCTGTTGTGGTTTTCAAACATTTTGATGGGCAATTGTACATTTATGCCATTGCTCAATGGGAAGTGTCTATTTTCACCTCCAGATTTTGACCCTTTCTCATGTATACCTGGATAGGTCAAACCCAGAATAACATAGCAAGTTCAGGGGGTATTTACTGTATTTACATCACCTAGCTGAGCTACCCGAACGTGGCTTATCAAAGGGCATCACTGCAGAAACATCAGTTTTATAACTTTTTAGGCTCATGAGGCAGCCAAACATTTGTGTTTGGTGTTTAAATAAGCTGAGCAAATGCTCCATGACACTGGATGCAAGAGGCACAGGGAGCTTTGGGTCCATGGGCTCTTTGATCCGATGCTGTGTGAGTAAATGAGAAAGGAGAGGAGGTGCCCAGGCAGTGACGGTGGATTCCCCCCAGAGCATGGTCAAACAAAACCATGCAGAATTGAGGTGCTGATGGCAGAGGCACCCTGGTTTCAGATGCACAGCATCCATACTTGCTCTTCCACAGGAGCAGCAAGGACATCCACTGCTGGGAGCTGCCTCCAGCCTGATTGACAGGGAGAGCTGGCAGCTGTGTGCTGTGGGTATATATTGATTTAGGAAAGCAAACAGACTAGTTGGTATGGAGTGAAGCCAAATCTCACCAGGAGCATGCCCTGCGCAGCTGCAGTGTTTCACTCAAGGTGTGTTGGACCTGAGCATGGTCCAGACCTTGACTTTTTTTGCCTTTTCCATGCAATCTGGAGTAGCTTTGACTAATCCTGAAGCAATTCCCAGTGCCTCTGCAACTGCTTGGGCACTACAGGGTTTGCACTGTAGTGCTGTCATTCTCCTTTCCCTTTCATCTGCCTGAAACCCTGTGTTTTGCCAGGTGCCTGTTAGTCTAGAACGTAAATGCTCCCTGAAAATATACATATTTGCATTCAAACACCAGGTTTGAGTACAAGCCTGAACCTCATGGCTCCTCTGTGCTTGTCTCGTCCCGCAGCAAGAAAGCCGTGGAGGACCCCGCCG